ATGTCAGATGTAAATTTCGCTAAAACATTTCTTTTATTTTCGTTTGTGTTTTTTGCTCATTACAGTTTAATAGAACCTAAGTATGGAGTTTAATAGCAAATTAAGAGGCCGCGTGATTAACAGTCAATCTCGCGAAATAATAGCCAATGTTATAGAGTTTATGAGAAGAGAAGGAAACTTTAATTCACCTTCAATACCATTTAAAAATGTAAATGATCGTGTTGCTGCAGCCACAGGAGTATCTAAAAACACTGTCGTCCGCATTTCTGGAGAGAAAAAAAGAATCGATAACCGTGAGATATCGGAATTTTCATCACCAAGAAAAACCATTAAAAAACCAAAAACAGTTAATGATATAGATGAAGCTGCACAAGAATCAAATTTTATTTTTTTATTATTAGATAGCTATTTTTGTTTCTGAGTTGTGTTCATTTACAGGCTCAATTTTTTTCCGTTTCTCCTTTTTGATTTTATATGGGGTTTCAAATTGTTTTTGACTTATTTCGACGTAAATCACAACAACACACTTTTTTTAATAAAGCAAACAAGTGTTAAGAGGTATATGTACGTGTAAACTACAATTACAAAAAATTGATATGAAACCCATGAAACCACCAACAAAAATGTAAAGCTAGCTTCCGTACTAGTACATGGTGTCATTCGTCGAGATAATTTATCGTTTTGTTTAATAGATCAAGAAATGTAAATATTCCCCTGTTATTTTTTATAAAATTATAAGAGAAATAAATTTTTTTCTAAATAGTATAGTTTATTATTTTGTAGAAAAACAAAATTTCGAAAATTTTAGTAATGTTTCAGAAACAACCGTTATTAATAATAGGTACCATTTTCCTTAATAAGGTAGAAATAAAATATAAACTATTTCCACGATTTACAAAGGTATTTTCCGCTATCCTATAAAATTTATATTTTCTGACTCAATTTCAAAAGGTTGAAGGAATTCCAAAACACCTTTTATGGCATAATAATTATTTTCAATTCTACATACTATCTTTAGCTGCTTTTAAAAACGTTCTAAGAAAGTCCAATCAGACCAATTTAATCCCTAAACTATTCCACACTTTTAAAATTTAATTACCTAAAAATATTAAAAACTATTTAAAATAACTTGTTTAGCAGACTGTACAATAGCTATCTTAGTCACACGTAGCGCGTTCTCTGTCTGGGCGTCGAACACCTCTAGAAATTTGATGAACTGTACCATACAAAGGTGTTTGAAAAATAAACACAAACTTTTATCCAGCCACAACGGCATGTCACGTAAGATTTAAAAATAGTTAATAATAACAACAAAAATCTAACGCACTATCATGAACATAAACATTGAAAAATAAAAAAGCACGTTCAATGAGATGGCTGACACTCAGACTCATCGATAATTTTTTTAATGTTTGCAGTATAATTTGAAACAGCCATTCGAATACAATTATCCAAATGTTCATCTGTAAGTCGATTGCGATATTTGTTCTTAATAAACTTCATATTGGAAAAAGAAGATTCACACAAATAGGTTGAACTGAATAATGCTTCCACTTTCAAGGCAACACGGCATAGAACTGAATATTTGTATTTACTTGCAGCGATGTCTTCGCCAAAGTTCTGCATAACACAAGTTGCAAACTGTTGGATATCAATTTCCATAAAGGGTGAAACAACAAACTGCGTTACTTAATCCATTTTGTTGAAATCCTTAAAACGATTTTTGAAGTTATTCTTCAGGGTAGAAACTATTTCTTCATGATATTTGCTGTCATAGGGTTCTAATGGATTTTGAGATATTTTTTCTGAAAGAATAGGAAAATGCTGTTAATTAGGTTTTGTTCCCAAAACTCCAGCTTTTTGATAAATGCTTTTATATCAGAAATCATTTCCGCTAGTTCTTTGTCTCTCCTCTGAAGCTGCAAATTAAGTTCGTTTAATTTCTCTGTAATGTCCACGAGAAAACCAAAATCTCTAAGCCAGATTGAATTTTCTAGTTCTGGAGTCGGTTCATCGCGTTGTTTAAAAAATTGAACTATGCCAGAGAGGACATCATTAAAACGTTTCAGCACCCGTCCTCTACTTAACCATCGGACTTTAGAGTGAAGGAGTAGGTCCCCGTATTGACAGTCAACTTCATCGGCCAAGGTTTTGAATAATCTTCTTTGTAACGCTTCAGTTCTAATCTTGTTCACAATTTTTACCACCAGTTTCATAACGTTGTTTAGTTTCAGGAAATTTCCACCTAATGCTTGCTGATGGATATTGCAGTGGTAACAGAGAAATTGCGGAAAAGTATCATCTTTGCGACATAACGCCACCAGACCCTTATCACAACCCACCATAGCTGGAGCGCCATCGGTTGTCAAGCCTACCATTTTCGATATTGGAATTTTCTCGGAAGAAATAATATTTTTTTAATGAGAAAACAACTCCTGTCCAGTAGTGTGTCCTTTCAGTGGAATAAACTTCAAAAGATCTTCTTTAATCCTAAAATCACTAAAAATTATCCTGACGAACACGGCCATCTGGGTAGTGTCAATGACATCTGTTGATTCATCCAGTTGAAGTGAAAAATAAACGCAGTTATCTAAGTCAGTTCTTAACTGTAAAAAAATATCATTGCTCATTACTTCTACACGTCTCATCACTTTATTAGCAGAAAGTTGCATAGATTTTATAGCTGAAACTAACTCGTCTTTATTTCTAAAGTTGGCAAATAACGAATCAGCAGCTTCTAAAAACGCCTGTTTTATCATTTCCCCATCTTCATAAGGTTTCTTTTTTTTTTGTGCAATTATCTGGGACACACGGTACGATGCTTCAGTTGCAGCCTTATTTTTGTACACTGTTCCTAAAAATATTGATTGTTGTCCAATTAACTGCTTTTTTAACTGTTTCAGTTTCTCCTTTCTGGCAGAATGTAGTGGGAATGATTTTTCAAAATAAGAATGTACAGTTTTATGATGTCTCTCAATATTTCCTTTTTTAGCAACGGAGACCGAAGTATTACATAACAAACACACATTTTTATCTTTTACTTCTGTAAAAAAGTATTGTTCTTCCCATTCCGAATGAAAGTGGTATGTCTTTACCTTCTTACAACTGCTTGCCATAATATTATTTTTTGTTGTTCTCTAGTAACCCAACCGCTGGACGTTGGTTATGCGTTCAGTTTTAAACTAAGTGCAATGTCGTCGCTTCGTGCGTATTTATCCCGTTCAAAGCAATCCTGATCGTTCTCGAACACTAACGCGCTGGTCCGGCTGGTCGGTTCTAGCCGATTCTAGCTTGATGGCGTCAGCGGCAGATCGCTCACCGCAACGTTGCCGCTGTTTATGTTTAATATTATGACAATTAGATTTTTTTGTGGAATTTTCGGAAGCTTCTTTGATTTTTGCAGTTTGTATTTTTTAAATTAAAATCGTTGTGAGAGCTACCAGAATTGCCTCCGCGAGCTACCGGTAGCTCGCGATCGACAGGTTGGCGACCACTGGTCTAACTTTAATTAAATTTTGTTGCTATTTTTCCCGACAACAAAATCTATCGCTAGTAGTTAATTAATTGGATAACACCGAAGTGTTGTCAAAGTAAATGCAATTAAAATAAAAAAAAAAGTATAGAACATAAATTCTAAAATTTGGAGAAAGTTTACTGCTAGGTAGTAAGAAGTGAGGAGATTGCGTCCTGAATGGAATATTGAGTTCTAAAACTGTGTTGAGATTGAGGAATTATGTTTCGTTCTTCACAAAAGACCCAGATTCTATCCTTGAGCAGAACTTCAAGGAGTCTGCCTAGCACTGATGAAAGAGATATGACGGTATGAGTCTGTGGGTTTTGGGACTGCCTGATATGGGAATCAGAATGGTATTGGCAGATTTCCAGGCAAATGGGAAGTATGATAAGGAGAGACATTCATTAAAGAGTAGGGTAAAGATGGGAAACATAGTTCCAGGAAAATATTTTAGCGTTCTTCTGTGTATGGAATCGAGCCAAGAGGCCATGTGGTAAAGGTGGTAAGGCATTATCGCTAAACATACATAAAATATGAAGAGTGAGGATTTTCTCATGGACCCAATTATTAGACCAAATTTATATGGGACCACCCCTAAAGTACCCCCTTTCTAACAAAATCATTGAGACACCGTGTTAAAGAATTATCGCTGAACATACATAAAAATATATCGACAAATTGAGAACTTCTTCCTTTTTTGAAATTGGTTAATAAATGGAAAAGTATTGATATTTATAAAATTTCATGGAAGATGTTATTTTTGTTTTAAAATGTCGCACTTTTTGACATAATATTCAGATATTATTATTATTATATACAATGTGATGCGTATAAATGTATTTTATTTTCATATTTTAACATTCCATTCAATTGCCAAAATGGTAATGTAAATAAGTTTGTTACATTGCATAAATTTTTTTGAGAAAAATTATTTTGAATATGAGAAAGTTCATTTATATTATTAATACGCATCACATTCTCAAGGTAATATTCACACCATCATTGAGCTGATAATATAAGAGCTCAGCTCTTTGATGACTTCCTGTCTATCTCTTGCTAAAAGACTTTTGTATATTTATCCGAATTTTAGGCTTATATATATTCCAGATTCTTCTGTTGTTTCAAAACCATCCATATACCAAATATTAGTATGATTTTTGGTAGTATAAGTGACTGAGATTTGGTCACTGGTCACATTATATCCTGTACCCCAGCTCTGTGGTTCACAAAGCTATAATTGATCATGCTCTAGTGAGTCTAGTGCGTTGATTACACTCGAGAGAGGTAGCAGGGCATGTCATCATTGCACCAATGATACATCTTTAAGCACTTAATATGCAATCTTCATAAACAATATTATAATAATAATATTCAACTACTTGTTTCAGATATTTATCTGATTTTTCGGTTTTCGATTTGCAATTTATATAAATTGACAATTTTCAATAAAATAATATCTTAAAGAAATTATTATTTTATTTTTCAGGATATGAAAATTTGGACAGACACAAAGGTTTCGATTTAGAAGCAGCTAAATTAGTCCTAAATGATTTAGCCGTTTTCCATGCAGTTCCTCTAGCTCTAAAACTGAAGGACCCACAAACATTCAAACAAAAAATTGAAGATAATTGTACTTTATTGCCACCCAAGCCAAAAGACGAACCAGAAAGAGAACACCATAAAGCATCATTTCCCTTTGCTCTTTTAACTTCTATCTTAAAGCAAGACATATATTGTAGAACTCACATCGAAGAATTCGAAAAATTTATTAAATCTCAAAATGAAAAATTCGAACGTGGCCTTAGTCCATTCGATTATGAATATAAAGGGGCTTTTGCAACGTTGACTCACGGCGACATGTGGCTCAACAACACAATGCAAAAGCTTAAAGATGGTAAAACTGTAAACAACAAATTTCTGGATTTCCAAATGTGTTCTATTGGTAATCCTGCAGCAGATTTGTTGTTCCTTTTAATAACTAGCGTCGATGTTCCTACTCTTCAAAACCATTTTGATTATTTATTGAGTTTCTACCATGAGAGTTTCATCAAAACCTTAGAAGCATTTAAATGCGATACTAAACCATTTCATTATAAAAATTTCTTGGGTGTTTTAAAAGAGGCTGCTATGGAAAAATTTTTCCACATTAATTTGATGAATGTTACAGTTATTTTTGTAAAAAAAGGAGTAAAACATGAATTCCACAAAAATGATGAATTACAGGCTTCCGATGTACACCCTGTAGGAAGATCTAAGTTATGTTTTATGTTTAAAGAAATGATAAGAAGAGACTGGTATTAGGAAATAGATTAGAACTATATAATATTTATTTTTGTAAATAAATTATACTTCGCATTTTATTGAATTAGTGTTTGTTTCCCTTGCCTTTAGAGATTTTAACTTTAGGATTGTGATCTATGTTTGTTGTCTTATTTTCCATGTCTTTTATTTTACGTACAGGCGTTTAATGATAATGGACAAGAAATGCGCAATACGACTTCTAAACTGTCCTATACTAGGTTAAAATAAGTGAGCTGATCCACGATGAAAGACAATTATTACAGGTGTTCCAACTTCCCTAAAATCCCATATAAAAACAAAAGACGATATGGCACCAAACAACGAATTTTCAAAAAATCCACCAGATGTCGTTAGAAGGTAAGGTACCCGTTTGAATATCATAGGAGCTAGATAAAGTATATTTTAACATCAACATGTATCCAACTTCAAGATCTGGCCATCAGATGATTGATGAAACATTTGACAGGTTTTTATACTAATGTTCACGGAGCATGACATATTATATTTACGACATATATAATTTTATTTAATTTATAATAATTTTATATTTAAGAGTTGGTTGGCTTAGTGGTAGAGTATCTGTCTGTGGATCTAAGGGTCCCAGGTTTGAATCCCACCGTGTTGGCCGGGATTTTTTAATTAAATTTAATTAATTAAAATAAATACTGATGCCTTGGCAGGATTCCCCACTCGACCATTCACTGTTGGGTTCTAATTAACAGTGCTGTTTCTAAAATGGCGCTGGGAAACAGTAACAAAGCCTACACATAACACGAGGCTAATGGCCTTAGTAGTCGATGCCGATGACACCAAATAAAAAAAATATATTTTATTATTTTATAATAATTTTGCAATAGTATTTATTAAAATTAGTTTAAAGTAAAGTAATGCTCCTTTCATCTTTGTTGAGGTCTAGTTATTGTTGATCTTAGATATGAATTATGTACCTGGATATACTGATGTCAAATTTTAATTTAGATATCAAAAGTAGAAGTGGACGATGTAGAAATAAAATAATAAAGACGATAGTAATTGCTGTTATAAGCTTTTATATTATTTTATAGATAAAGAAAAGAAACGAATGAAGGTATTTTCAATTTTTTAAATGTGTATGTGTGTAAATTTTATAAGAATTAGCATTTCGGCTGTTAAGACATCAGTAAATTATAAAGGTAAACAAGAATGGAATGATTGATAATAATTTCTTTTTTTACATTTACATTGGCGAATACTAATAAAATTTCCACACTTGAAAAGACCTACCTTTCGTCCGTTTTTCTTTATCAGTCTGTGTGTAGATACACCTACAAATATTTGATTTATTTTGTAAATGATTAGAGTTACTATAAGATAATGAATCTATTGAAAAAAATCCTCTGCGTTTGTATATAACTAGCTGTTGCCCGCGGCTGCGCACGCGTGGAGTCGCGATAATATGTTGTTTTACTGTTCACGGTATGTTTGTGATAGTATTATAAATTAATGTTAATTAGACTATTCTAATATTTAAATATATTAATCTAATTATTGATGATCTCATTTTATTTCACATTTCTGGTACGGCTCTCATCTGCTAATATCACCAGATTGCACGCAGTACTTATTTTTATTTATTTTGTTTATTTTTATTTCTCCCCTTCCTTAAAATGTGAAAATCCTAAAACCATGAAACAAATCAATATTTATTTTTGATCAGTAGCTGTGTTTCAAATTTTCATGTTTTTAACTTTAAGGAACAAAAAAATATATACATACTTTTAAACAAATTTTCACCCCCCGTTTCCCCTCTTAAAATGTGAAAAGGCAAAAACCCTAAAAGACGTCATTATTTATTTATGATAAGCACCTACAATTCTAATTTTCAGGTTCCTACCTTTAAGAAAGATCGATACTTTCAAATAAACTTTCATCCCTGGTTCCTCCCTTAAAATGTGAAAATACAAAAACCCTGAAACACGTTATTATTAATTTGTACTCAGTATCTGCAATTCCAATTTTCATGTTTCTAACTTTAAAGAGAACCAAAAACATGGATAATCCCAAATACATTTTCACCCCCATCCCCCCCTTAAAATGTTAAAATTCAAAAACCCTGAAACACGTCATTAATAATTTTTAGTCAGTAGCTGCAATTCCAATTTTTATGTTTCTAACTTCAAAGAGAACAAAAAAATCGATAGTCCCATACAAACTTTCACCCCCCGTTTCCCCCCCTTAAAATGTAAAAATCCAAAAACGCTGAAACACGTCATTATTTATTTATGCTTAGTAGCTGTAATTTAAATTTTCATGTTTCTAACTTTAAAAAACAAAGAGTTTCATTAAAAGCTCCCTCCCCCATTTCCCCCCTTTAAAGTTAAATATTTCCGAAAATCCTTCCTTAGCGGATGCTCATGTTATAAAATAAACCTATGCTCCAAATTTCAGCTTTCTAGGCTCAGTAGTTTTGGCTGTGCGTTGATAGGTCAGTCAGTCAGTCAGTTAGTCAGTCAGGACAAACAATTTTATGTACCGAGTGTTCAAATGAAAGTGTTACAGTTAAGTACCGCCAAAAATATGCATTTAATGAAAAAAAATCAGACAAAATTTTTAAAGTTTTTTTGGGGGAAACATTTTGGCTAAATTAATTTTGTTACAGCTGACCATAATATGGCCATATCGAGGTGAACTTTTTTTTTAAATTAGAACCCCATTTTTTTACATATTCTTAAAGTTTATATAAAAAAAATAAGAAACTTTTAAGGAAAACATTTTTTTTTATTGGACTTTTACTTATTGAGTAACACATACTTGAAAATTTTGCTGCGCGAAAAAAAAAGCAGGCCATATTATGGTTAGCTAGCTACAAAAAACCGATTTGAGCTAAATTTTTTCCCCAAAAATCAATAAAACTTTCGTCTGAAACGTTTTTTTATAAAAGGCGGTACTAAACTGTAACGCTTTAATTTGAACACCCGGTATATATAGATATATAAAAAGTTTATAACAATACTTATTCGTTTAGGTAATTAAGGTTTACAGATCATTTTTGTACCTACCCTTTTCATCAATTTGCCTTGTAAGAACCACATTTTATTGCAATTAGGAGATCCCTCCATGTGAAATTTTTTAGGACTGGTAACAAAATAAGGGGTTATGGTTGACAAATAGTGTTATTTTTAACAGACACGTTATTTGTGAACAGGTTGTAATTTCTGTGTGTTTATAAAATAACAGACCTGTTAAAAATAACACAGGTTGTCAATCATAACCCCCATTAGCATGTATCTTTGGAATGTGTTTATTACTTTTTTTTGTGTCATCGGCATCAACTGCTACGGTTATTAGCCTCGTGTTCTGTGTAGGCTTTGTTACTGTTTCCCAGCGCCACTTTAGAAATAGCACTGTTAATTAGTACCCAACAGTGAATGGTCGAGTTTATTACTTATCTAAAATATGGCAGTTATAGTTTAATACCTACTCTTCTGTAAACATAACATCAAAATGGCACTTAACACTTATTTTTTCAAAAAGAATACACACTATTTTCCTTATTTATTTATTGTTGTCTTGTCTTGTCCATTTCGTTTGTTACATAGAGTATAATTAGTGGACATTAATAAATTACCATTAATTAAAAAAAATTGGATACAGACGTATTTTTTACTCGATAGAGACAAAATTAACTGAATTTTTTTGACAGTTCACGATCATTATTTGTTTTCATTTAAGGTACTTTACCTTCTACCAACATCTGGTGGATTTTATATACTTTGCAGTTTTTGGTGCCATATTTAAAAATCTGATGTGTCCAACACATGACTTTCCTATCTAGTTATTATAGGCATTTTCCGGTTATTTTGTACAACCTATTGCAGCATCTCTATAAATGTTTAGAGGATAAACTAAATATATACATTTTACACATACATCTACCTCGAAACATTTTTCTATAGATATTCATTGAAAACGAAAATACTGAAAAATTTAAATTTAGCACTTTTCCATTAGGGGGCGTCCATTAATTACGTGAGGTATTTTTGAGGATTTTTTGAGTCCCCCTCCCCCCCTGGCGAGATTTGGTAAGATTTTGCTTAACTCCCTCCCTCCCTTCCCTAATATTACGTGAGATTTTTCAAAATTCGTGTTTTGGGTGTAAATGTGTTATATTATTAAAAAAAAAAAACAAAAACACAATATGTTCCATTACTTTTATTTAAGACTAGCAGAGACTAGTGTTTGAGAGTGTTGCAATTATTTAAAATCACATTAATAAAATTAAATGATAAATACTTAAATGGAAATTAATAAAAAATCTATTCTAATTCAGTCCACGGAGACTCATGCACGGCCTCAAGAGTGATTACTGGAACCAAGTGATTTTCAATGCAATCATCTGCTCCTTTAACTTCGCTCTGATTTAGAGGTGTGTAATGTGACACTTGTAAATAAACATAATTATAAGATTTTTCCATATTTTATTCTAGAAATACTTTTACTACTGGGTCTTCAACAATACCGAAAACCCACGTGACCAAATCGTCATGACAGCGATTGGTGAAAATAAAAGTAAAAATCCCTAGATGTGAGCCAGTGCCGTAGGTATTTTATTACAAACTAGATCTTCTTCTTTTTTATGGACTGCAACTACGAGAACAAAATTCAGTTAGGTAACTGTTGGAATTATAACTCCAAATCATAATATTAATTAGAGGTGTTTTACATTATTGTATTTTAATGTTAGAATTTGATATTTTAATTAGATTTATTCAAATGCAATAATTTAAAATTGATATAATTAACATAACCCTAAAAACTGAGCTGTTATATCTAGTTTGTATTATTGTATTTAACAAAAAGAATAATAAACCTGAAATGTGCGTACTAGTTATTGCCACTATTGCAAAAAAAAACCTTTACCAGAAAGTTATGGACAAAAAATGTTATTCATTAAAATATGAATAAAATTAAAAATTTACTTTAGATTGACTCGTAAGATATTTAGCTACGGCTGAAACTTTAAATAAGATAGGCAGAAGACAATGGTAGTATTTGGCAATTATTGCAGTTTAAGTTAACAAATTT